CATTCGCAGCGTTGGAGTCCGATTCGGACGCACACCTAGCATCTGAATTCTGAGAGGTGAAACACAAGTCCGTCATGGTGAGTGAATGCGGGATGCCTGTACTGCAAAGCCGCTGCACTCCAGCCACGACGCGACGGGCCCCAGAGCGTTGCGTAAACCATTACAGGAGATAACAACAGGCCTCTGTTTGGAGGTCTCAAGGGCCTCAGCGATGACCCGGCACGCACCTTCGATCCAGCAGGCATACGAGGAAGCCTCGGGAGCCGTAATACCTCCAACCTGACGGACCGAAAGTCTAACAGGTGGGGGTGACGGAATTTGGAACTGCGCTGGATCACCCGATGTGACAAAAGCACGCGGCTGGACTGCACCCCATAAAGGAAGCGTATCTGCAGGACACTCTCGACGCGGCGGGAGGGGCTGGACGCTTTCACAAAACACAGAGGGATCAAGCAGCAACAGTAAATCATCGGCGGTACTGCCTGCCCAGCGCTGTGCCGAGGGGTGAGTTGCCCACATCTCAACCGTGTGCCGTATCGCCTCGAGCGGGGCAATGTGTTCGGCGACACACTCCCAAGCATCGGATTCCGGCTCGGGCAACCCTAACAACTCAGCCAGCAACGACGGGCAATGGTCCTCACTGGGGCAGCTAGGGTGTGTCGCCATGTAGTTGCCGGGTACAACCATGGGCGGGGCTTGTACATGTCCGGTCGCTGGCACACTGTCCGACGGCTGGAAAGACCCCCATCGGCGTCGGCAAGCATGAGCTGCTACCAAATGCCTTTTGAGACGTCCTTCAGTCGAGTACACCTTGCCGCAACCAGTACACAGCCTACCTCTGCCGATTAGGAAGGCCTGCGACCTATAGCCGTGGATCCTTGCAGCATGCCCTGACCAGCTTACCCGAGAGGGGAACGCTCGCTTGCACGGGACACATGCATCCGTGCATTGCTCAAGGCGGAAGCTGATGCCAGGCGCTGTGGTCTCAGTACTGAGGCCTCGATGTAGGCCATCCAATGCGGCAATCACAACGTGTCTGGCCTGTTCAATGGCAATTGCTCGCTTGACGAAGCCTTTAAACCTGCCTGTATGCTGGCGCAAGATCACAGCCCACGCGGCCCAGTCGTCATCAGGCGCTGGCAGCCCAGCCTGCTCACCAACACGTGCATGTAACCACCTCGCCGCATCCATGAGCATCTCGGCATATGGCCTGTCAGCCCTGATCAAGGCCCACAGAGCATCTGGTGCACTACGAAAGGCCTGTGCCAGGTACAGAAGCCTGTGCCGCCGCAAGGTGTTGGCTGGGCTTGGTAGCCCCACAATGGCCAAACAGGCATGAAAAGATATGTCCTGCTCCGAATCCCGGCCAAGGCCAAGCAGTGGCCTGTATAGACGCCACAAGCATCCCGCAAAGGATTTGTACTCCCCTGCTGTCAGGGGTGGCCATGATCCACAGCCGTACAGCAGCTTCGGCAAAACAGCGGCATGCAGGATATAAGCCTTCCTTCGGACAGTGACCTGCCGGCACCTGTAGACCTTTCGCCTGCCTTCAGCAAAAGCCGCGTAAGCCTGCCCCGCACGGTAGGCGATTTCAGCGCGAAGGCTTCCTCCTGGGGACTGCATGGATCCAAGGTGACGGTATGTCGCCACCAGCGGGATGCGCGCCGCGCCTTCGCCCTCCAGCAAAACAGGTAGCGTCCCACCATCTCGGCGGGCTCCAAATAAGCGTTGTTTGAGGCGTCGGGAACCAGGACCGGACGGGGATGCAAGGATTGCGGTCTTCCTTTCGCCGAAGGTCAACGAGAATCCATGCTCTCGGAAGGCATCAACCAAGCAGCCTGTCTCCAGAGCCATGGCCGTATCGGCCGTCGCAGCTTGGTCACAGAGCCTCATCGTGGCAAGGTCATCGGCCCACACCACGTCTTCGACTTCTATGGCCTGAGGAGCACCATCGCACGGAAGAAGAGTACGGACGCCGTCCCATGGAAGCTTGGGGGGAACCGACTGGTGCATCACCTCGGATCGCAGCTGGCTCCGCCTCTCAAGTACACGCTGCATGACGGTAGCAAAAAGGATGTCCGCCCAGCTGGAGCCTGGGCGTGTTCCCCTATCTGTGGAGACCGCTACATGGTCTCCGCGGATGAGAAAAAAGGTTCCGTGGGTCACGCAATGGGAAACGGCCTCCGTCCACGGGTCAGCGCCGGCTCGTTGAAGGGCTGTCGGATCTGCAGTATGCTCACGCAACCGTTGCAACTCGTCAACCGATAAATGCAAATTGGCTAGCGCCCTCTCGGAAGGTAGTCCGCCTTGCGTACCAGGAGCTGTCGCAATCAACTCACGCACGGTAGAGTAGTACGCGGCAGTGATGTCGGCAAACAGGACAAAACTATTCTTCCGGACAGAGTGGGCCCATCTTTGGAAGGTTCGCACTATGTGCGAGCCAAACACCACGTTGCCTCCCGGTCTACTGCCCAGTTGCAGTTGTGGCGCTGAACTGTGGTATATCGCGAGAGCCTTGGGTCGTAGGGCTTGGTGCAGCGCTTTAGCCCATGCATTAAGCAATAAAATTGCTCTGTACGAGCTGCATTCCTGTTGGGAGCCGCGGCCTTTCCAAAAGAACACCGCAACCCCTGCCTTATGCCCGACTGCTTCAGCTCCTCGAAAGACGTACTTTAGCAGGAGCGGAAACAACAAATCCGTTACCTCTGCGGGCAAGATTTTGCCCAGCTCTGCTGGGATACCGTCCGGGCCCGCCGCCTTGCGGCACTTGCCGGACGCAAGCACACGATGCAAGTACGCCGCATCAGGAATGTCGGCGAGGCTGCTCGGGCTGGGCCAGTGCGGCTGTGAGGCTTGCATGGCGTCGGCGGCAATATCGAGGACAGAAGCCTCTCTCCCGGCCTCCAGACCCCCAAAATGCTGTCTCCATCTGCCGCGGGCATTCTCAGCGGTATCACAAACCTGCCCATCCGCTTGTCGGATGATGGGCAACGGCTCGGCTTGAAATGGGCGTTTCCGCTTGTGCTGAAGCAAGCGATGAACCTCATTGAAAATCTCTGCCTGTGGACATACGGCAAGCTTGTCGGCTAAAGCATTGACGTACGCAGCGCGGTCCCCACGGCAGGCTTTCCTGAGAGCACGGCAGTGGGTGTCCATGCTTTGCCGATACCATGCATCCGCAAGAATGGCCCGACAAAACCACGTAGAGTAGACGATAACGTCGACAATGCTGGGCCCTCTGGCGGACCAACAAAGGAAGCACGCGGCCAGCATTTGCCTCGCTATATGATGCCGGAGCCTGTGGAAATCACGCCTTAGCCTGGAGACCTGCTTTTGC